ACATTTTCGTGAACGCGACACAGGGTGCAGGCGATGCGGCTAAGCTACACTCGAGCTGTTGGTGCACTCGACACTGCAGCTGAGATAGCCTGTATATGCATGACTGCACATTGAGCACCAATTCTAATTGTAAGTTCGTTACCGAAATCTAACATTACCTTAACGCGCGAGCAACTAAAAACAGTCACAGCATAAAAACTTTTTTGATTTTCACGTTATTTCGTCCTCATTTTTATTCATTCTTGATTGCAAGGATCTTTCAGATCGTTCAACACATAAAAGATCCTACGTGTCAGGGCTTTTCCACTCAAATCGACCGAATAGCTGCTGCTATAGGGACTACAGAGGCAGAGGTATGACATTATGCTGGTGAGAATCGTACATAGTGCCGAATATTTTTTAGATGTCGCGTCGTGCTGCTCTTTGTAAGCGTTTCGAAGACCTTCTTAAGCGCTACATCATAGATCCTACCGTAGTGCAGTTCGGTTCGGCGATAACTGGGGTTGGCACCAATGACTCTGATATGGTAAGTTGCACATTGCACATATCCCTGTCTCATTTGCACCGTCGCGACTCGAGCGGTTCGAATTCCGCGCGGCCGCTCTGCTTGGGCTCTGCGCTGCGTTCATGAACTGTCTCCTAATTATCTAAACATGTCTGAGCTTGGAAAAGGCTTAGAGGCACGCTATCGCTGCTCAAACATGGGAAAATGATCAGAGGATGCATTCGTGAACGCTGTACAAAGCCCAAGCGAAGCGGTAACGAGTGAAGCCGCTCAAGTCGGCGACACTGCCATTGAAACAGAGTGTACTGCCTATTTTAGAATGTTTCAGGATCTATGCCTCTTATTCAAAAATGAAAATTCGCTCATGTCTGAATTTGTTCGTGATGCGAACGAGCTGCTATCATGCCCAGCTGAAAATTTTCGGGAAAACCTCGTACATCCCGATGAGCTTCGCGCTCTTTCTAGACGAGGTAATAGAAGAACACTTTTCATATTTTTTTCTTTGAGTAGAATGTTCAGATCAGACTGATGTGCTCTTTCGCATACTCAAAGAGATGAGGAGAGAAAAATGTGGCTTTTTCAAAAGCTTATATGCCGTCTCTGATGCTCGCTGCCCGGTGATAAGATTCTCTGCCTACGACAGACATGTAAGTTTTCTGATTATCTGTTGTTGTTGTTTTTTTCTCCAAATCATCATGATGCTTTTTCAGTTAGTGGAATTATCTGTGAACAACAGTATAGGCTATCAGAAATCGGCATATTTGGGAGCGCTGGTGCAAAATGATCAGTCTGGACTTCTTCGCAAACTGATACTTGCTTTGCGCTTTTGGGCAATGTCCAATGGTGTGTTCAAATCGGAAAAGAAGAAGGTATGTCGGCTTATTGCAATAGGATTCAATTTTATTGTTAACTTAGACTTGGAATCTCAATTCGTACACAATAACGTTGATGTTCGTGACGTTTTTGCAATCGGAAGGACTTTTACCAGTATTTACGCATTCGCAGGCTCCGGTAGGAAGACTATCATAATTTCTGTGCAAGATTCACTATACTCTGGTTTAGGAGTATGCGAGCGATAATAGAGTTGACTTTGCAGTTCCCCCTTATAGTTTAGCTGAAGTGGATATGAGAAGCTTATTCAAGGTATACTTTTAGCGGCTTGAAAAGCGCAGATTTAAGGCTTCGATTTAGAAATTCTTCGTCTTTTGCGTGGAAAATCAACTGGATAAGTCAGTTTTCTCACTGAGAAAGGGAGGTTTGGTGCTCTTGACTGATATGGAGGGGATTCTGATAAATTCTAAGCCAATTTCGGTACTTTTTGTGCAGGTAAGATCTCTTATAGTGCTACTCATGTTTTAATTATAGTCGTACTCATCCTTGGTGGACACCTGGAGGACAGTTTTGAATTTGAAGTGGAGCGGACGTTGGCGGCAGAGTGCGGCATTATCCCAGGCAATTTAAACTGAGGGCTAAGGGAGCCGTGCTTTACCGCAAAGCGTGGTCTCTACTTCAAATTCGAAATAGTCCATCAGATACCTACGAGTGTAGACGACGATATCTACATTTCGTATTGTTTTCAGGATCCGATAGAGGTGTCCGATAATGTAGCAAGAAATGTAACTAGTAAAGCACTAAGAACGATGAGACATGCAATGATGCTTTCACTAGCTGCGCTCAAGCAAAATGCCGATTCTTTCGCCGTAATGCTCGGCGTGCTGAAGCCGAGTGAATCTGCGACTTCACCTGCGCCAAGCACGCCTGCTACAGGTATGACGGCATTTTTTTGTGCTCTTAACATAGTCAAGCTTTTAGAGGGTTCATGTCGCGTTTCTGGATTCCCAGGATCAGTAGATGATTGTGTAATGGAGACGTTGATGCAGATTATCTTGGTCATTATTTTACGATGTGAGAATCCAGCCATGCCCGCAAAAAGGGCTAGATTTGATTGCGTATGTGCATAGGTTTGGTGTTCGTTGACATAATGTAGTGCAAA